CCGGGGGGGGGGGCGGATAAGGGGTGGGGGCCAGGCCACAACCTCCTCCCCTAACCGGCCCTCCATACAGTTTCTGAAACCCGATGCGGCCCTCAGGCCAAAAAGTTTGCCCGCCCCTGATCTAGGAGCTCATGAGCTACTAAACCTTAAATCTCACATCATTCTGATTAAGAGCCTGCTTTCCTATCACACGAACGTAAAATATGACATGATTTTTTGCAGCCATTGCGTTAAGCACTGCTAGAGAACTGCTTTAAAATCCATGCAAAACCATTTAGTTGTAAGCTTGGCATTCAGCTTCCAAATGGCATAAAGCAGTGGTTTTCAATCTTTTTCATTTGCAGCCCCCCTACAAATTTTTTAATGCAAGTGTGGACCCCTTTGGAAATCCTAGACATAGTCTGTGGACCCCAATGGTCCTTGGACCCCAGTTCAAAAATCACTGGCATAAAGCACAAAATCTTCAACTCTAGTGATTACTGAGATATTTCTCACTAAAATCATGTTGGAAACAGCTAGGAAGAAAAACAAGAGTATCAAGAACAGTTTTCATGTCCAATGTGCCATGACCTACCAGTTCCAAAGCTAGTAATACTTTGGCAGACCACTACAAATGCTTTCAGAACAAGTAAGTATTCTAAGGATTGCTCCCAGACCAGCACTCCAAAAGAAAACATTTGATTTCAAATAATGCAAATTTACATTTCATATTTTAATATTCATTCATGAGTCATGACATGTAGATTAGCTACAGAAATGGGATTTAACGAAGAGAAGAATAAAAACTCATGTTTGTTGTAGTGTTATAGCCGTGTGGGTCCCAGGATATGAGACACACAAGGTAGATGAAGTTTAACCAATAAAAGATATTACCTCACCTACCTTATGTCTCTAATAAATTTCATACCAAAGTAAAACCCAAATGTTGTTGGGAGAGGGAAGGGGTCATGTGACTGGAATAAGAGGAAGGCTGCCTTAAATATGCCCTGTGCTGATTTAATGATTGGTAGCAATCATATAATTTTTTAATTCTTTTCACAGTAGGACAAAGACAGCACTGTTCGCTTATGTTGTCAAGCAAGGATCTCCATTGTGAGATTTAAAGTAATGTTTCCATGCAACTGACAGTTGAGAAACTGCTCTCTGACTTCACCACATCCCTGGGAGAAAAGGTATATCTTCAAATAGCGTTGGGCTTGCTTAACTAGAAGTATTAAAAAGAACTAGAAGTCAACCGCATTTTAAGAAATATCAGTGCTATTCTTCTCCTATCTTCTCCCAAAATGAAAAGAAATTAACGTTTTTTTTTATTTCCTCTGTTGGTTGTAATTATTTGGACAGTCAAGTAGGTGACCTCCCCCCCACCCCACATACACACTAAAGAAACTTTTTTGTTTAAAGAATAGAATTTTGAAGTTAGCACATAGATCAGAATCCAGCTTCCATTTACCTACTCTTTGTGATCTGATGTTAAAAGAAGTTGACAGTTAAGTTTACAACAAAAGCAATGTGCTGAACTCTACCATAATTTCCTGTTTAACAGAGTATGTCATTTGGTGATTGTGATTATGATTATCCATGTGTGAACAAGCCCCATACCACTCACCTGTAGAGTAATTCTAAACCCATTTTGATAGAAGTTACAGTAGTTTGAATTAGATTACAGTGGTTTCTAATGAAACTCTGAAAATACTCAGACTGCTATAAACTGCACTGGAGCTGAACTAGCCACTGGATTGAGGAAAGAGGAATAAAACCATCCTTGTCTCCCTCACTCCCCAGATCCTGTGCTAAGAACATCTCAGCTGAACCCCAAAGTTTGGGGCTTAAGTATATAAATCTTACAAGGCGCACACTACAGTTTAGTGCTGCTTTAAGAGCACCCATAACAACATGTACTATGCAGCTGATTACATAAATTTTTCAGACAGTCTTGGAACATGTTACAGCAAATAAAGGTTAAGAGATTTCCATGAAATTCTCTGCTGTGATAATGTTTGCATTTAATATTGTTTAAACTGTAGATAGCAAAAAAATATTTTGATGTTTTCAATGTATATTCTGCAGTTTACTGCTGGAAACTCTCAGGAGTGCTCAACTTTAAGATTTCGTTTTTTAATGTTTCGGTTCTGAAACATTGCGTTTTCCCCCTCAGGCCCACTTCCATTGCAAAGGAAGGTTGCCATCTTTGAAAAATTGTGTCAGCATCTGTAGAAATTGGGAAAGGCAGTCTTGTATCATTAGAAAAACAAATTTTATTAATGAAGAGTTGGAGCTGAAAGAGTGCAGAATGAGTATGTGATGGTAAAATAATAGACTGATTGAGGGATAAGAGGAGATAATGGAAAGAAAATAAGGAGCATTTATTTTCGGTGCGTAAACAAGAGAACTCTTACTCCTGGGAGAATTCTGCGTCACTGCGTGTGCACGGAATTCATGTCCCCTGCAGATTTCTTTGCTTCCCCGCAGAAAAATGACTTTCTTACAAGGAAGCAAAGGGAAGAGCAAGAGCAGTTTCGCACCACTTCCTACTGGTGCAGGTACATCGTTTCAGGCACCCAGAGCAACTGGCGGAGAGGTAAATCACCGCAGGGCTGGGGACACCCCAGCCAGTGGCTCCTACCCTGAGCTGGGATCAGCTGCTAGTCCCAGCTGGGCGGGAGAGGATGGAACTTCCTCTTCCCCTGCAAGGAGTGGCTGAGGCTGTGTCAGACCCACCCCCAGAAACCTCCTCCAGCTGCAGGAAGCTCAGTGTCCTCCCCTGCTTCCTGCCCCCATTGCGCCTCAGCAGCAGGGGGAGGGGGGTCTCTGTACAGGGAGCTGCTCCCCCATCCGCCAAACCCCCATGCATCTGGACCTCCCATACCCTGACACCCCTGTCAAGCCTCACCCTGTACACCCAGAACCCCCCTAGCCCTCCATACTCAAACCCCACCCCACAGAGCCTCAATCCCTGCATCTGGAACCTCCTTGCACTCAGACCCTCTGCCTCTGGACCCCCATCCCAGCACGCAGGCCACCCCCACACTGAGCTCCCTGCACTCAAACCCCCACCCTGACAAGGCCCACTCCCTTGAGCCCCCACATCTAGACCCCCATGCCACTGACCCCCACCCAGCTGCACCCACTGAATCCGTGTCCTGGGGGTGGGGAGGCTGCAGAGTGATCTCCCATCTTTGTGCAGCCAGTGGCTTGTGCCATGCTGGAGCCTCTGCATTTATTTATTGACAAATAAAACTTGCAGAATTTCACTGAATTAAAAAATATTGTGCACAGAATTTTTAATTTTTTGGCACAGAATGCCTTCAGGAGTAAACTCTGCCTGTTCAGTTGACATGTGAAGATGTCAATCCTTCCCTGGGAACATTTGCCATTAATTTTCAATAGTAATTAAATTGCTTTATCTTTCATGCACATAAATCAGAAATCTCCAAGATCACAAAAAGAGGATCCAAATCACTTTGCAGATATGCAGCTGTATTCAAACCCACATGCTCCTTCTGTGCCTGACTTCAACAGGAAAAAAAGCAGCAGCAGTGTGTGAAGACAGTAACAATGGAGCACTAAGTATTTCATTTGCAGTTACCAACAAGTATTATGGAAATATTCCATACTAATCCTACACACAACCTAAAAATAAAACTTGTTGATGGAGAAAAAAAATTCTCCATCAACAAATACATGATGTTTTAAGGTAAAATATTCTGTTTATCAGTGGCCTTGTCTCTGCCACTCATTTTTCTCAGAGACAAAACAATTTATTCTCCTCTGGGATTCTTCTGCTGGAATCTTTGTGTCCAGCAGTCTTCATAGTGGGGTTTCCGCCTCTACCCACTGAAACTGGAGACAGGGGCAAGACTGTTTACTTTGTTAACACACACAAAACAAAATCTGCAGAGGACTTTATGTCTACATTGTTGGGTTATGAGAATGTGAGGAATGAAGACCAAGTTATTGCCTTGCAGATTTCCTCATATGCCATATCCTACCTTTTGGCCATGAAGTTGCCATTTTAGTTTTCATCAATACCTACAAGTAAGGTTGCCCAGTTAGCTTTGTGAGACCCTGAGATACATGTCTTGATCCATCCTGCCACTGAGACTTCGTATGCCCCCCCGCCTGCTGCAGGATAAAGTACTTGTGTTGACTTCTGTAGGTCTCAGACTTGTGCAAATATATTCTGATTGTACTTCTAAACATGTAGGGTGTCTCACTCAAGGGATGTTCATGATTTGGACAAAAGCTGTCTATGTGTTTTCCCGGAGAGATGTGCACTGTCTCTCTGATGGTGCAAAAGACAGTTATCCTTTGGTCTGACTACTGAGTCAGCACCGTTAACCACCTTATCCTGAAGGAAGGTGACACACTGTAGCTGAATGGTTAAAGCATTTATTTTAAGACTTTCCTTAACTGAACGTGAGAAACTGAGTGAGAGAAAATATGGAGACATTGATCTCAGCAACGGTCCTGAATGACTCAGTTCAGGCTCCACATGGGCAATTGTGAATGATGGGAGGACTTAGTGATGCTGCTTTCAGGAATCTGATATGTTGCTTTTTAGCAATCAGAGAAGAACTTCTGCAAATGATCCCATTGGCAATGGCTGAAACAGGTTTCTTGAGAGCTTTTGCTTTGAGAGCGACAGATGAGCAGTCCTGTAAGAACCCAGCATGTGCTCATTTTGGCTGACTGCATTCTGTCTTAGGTCTCATTATCTCCTTCCTTCTGGTAATTAAAAGCTTAAAGAGAAAGATGACAATGAAGAATCTCTCTTCCCTCATTTCCTTTTAGATATATATACTACATATATTTTTTGTCTGGGCTTTTCAGGCATCCTTGGGCTGCAAGGATCCTGGAAAGTGATTTATTCTCTCCACCTGCTGAATAACAATCCAAATAAAATTCTGATCGAGACTCAGGATTTTTTTCTTTCGCATTATCGTTTATGGGATTTATTAGCTCTTTTATGCTTAAAATGTGGGATCCACTGGGGTCAACTGATTTGGTTTTCTTGTATGCATCTCCTTATGCAACTTTTTACGGCTGGATGATAGCCAGAGGATCCTTCCTGAAACGAGTGGGAGAAATAGGAGATGGCTTCTTAAAGATGATATCTGACTTGCTTAAAGGATCAGACAGAGAGAATACACAGCTGGGGGCTAGCAGTAAACACAGGCAGGTAAGACTCTGACAAGATATAGCCTGCTTGACACCATAGGAAAACATACAGACAATGCATGATCACTGCAGCACTCCCACTGGCTGGATCCTGGTGGCAGGAGGAAACATGATGCATCTACCTGTCTGACCCTAGATAGTTGAAATCTAGGTGAGCTGCATTTGCTCCAGCTACTAGGGAGAGCAATGCCACGGGCTGCTGCTTCTCCCTGCTCTCTGCAGTGTCATCTTCTAACTGTGGATCTCAACTTGGGGAAAAAAGATGTTTTTGCTATCTGCCCATTCAGTTCAGTACAGCAAATGCTCATGCACTGGCTTGGAGCAATCACTTTCAAGTCACTGTAGGAAGACAGCCCTCTCTGGCTTGGTTGGGCTCTACTTCTTATACTGGGGACTCTGGAAGACTACATACAACTATTCCTTTAGTGTGAGGCCGCAGAAGTGGAACGCTTCCTGTTCCTTCTCCCCATCGGCCATCTTCCAACAACATAAAGAAGACTGAGTGGGCTGCTTCAGGTCACCAACTCCCTGCCCCATGCTAAAGCTTTCTTTCATTTTCATTTAGCAGAGTGCTTGCTGGATGGGCTCAAGATCCATCTGTCTGTTATAAATACAGGACTAAACCCTGCCATTTTCTGCATTCTGGGGCACAGAATTCTGGATAGGGGTTCTAAGAGGGTGCCACTGTGAAGACAGACTGACATACAAAGGTCCCTCCCATGCCCTAACTCCCTCCCCACACCGACACCTGTACCCCAACCCCCTGCCCCAGGTCGGAACCCCCTCCCGCACCCTAACTCCCTCCCAGACTCCACACAACCACCCGCATCCCAACACCCTGCCCCAGCCTTGAGCCCCCTCCTGCAACCAGTCTCCCTCCCAGAGCCTGCACCTCAAACCTCCTCCCGCACTCCAACCCCCTGCCCCAGCCCTGAGCCCGCTCCCGCACTCCAAACCCCTTGGCCCCAGCCCGGAGCCCCCTCCTGCACCCCAAACTCCCCAGCTCCACCCCAGAGCTTGCACCCCCAGCTGGAGCCCTCACCCCCTCCCGCACCCCAATCCCCTGCCCCAGTCCGGAGCCCCCTTCCACACCCTGAACCTCTCATTTCTGGCCGCACCCCAGAGCCTAGGGGAAACCACAAGCCTCTGCCCTCTGCGGGGCTGGAGACGTGAGCGCCAGCTCACCTTGCTGCGGGGTAAAGCCCCGAGCCTCCGCGCCCCCACCCCCGCAGGGCTGTGTGTGGCCTGCAACTCATTTTTTCTGTGGGTCAGTGGCCCCGATAGAAAAAAAGTTCCCCACCCCTGGGTTAGCTAGTTATGTTTACTTCATAATATATAATTGTATCTAGAAAGATAAGCATCTCTGCTAAAGTCTTTTAAAAGTATGCAAGTTAATATTTATGGAACACAATCAATGCTGGAAGACTGCTTCCTCCACCTCTTTATTTATGCTTTTAAGTCTACATAAACTTCTCTGTGTTTCTCCACCCAAAATAACTGCTATAAGGATCTTTTGACCCTAAACAAAGAAATCTATTTATTTAAATCAGCAAGATGATGATTCAAGAGCAACCTCACAAGAAGGAAAATAGAGCTCTCTTCAGAAACAGATTTCTGATTTAAGCTTTCAAAGGGCTATCATAAAATAGTAAGAAAATCTCACCAACCCCCCCACCCCCCATCAAATTTTATTTTCATAATATAAACAATACACTACAACTGAGTGAGTACCAGTCTTTGCTGCACTTAAAAAGTTTGCATTTCACATACTAAGTGACCTATATACATTGAAGGGACACACCAGATTTTCAAAGATATTTAGGCGTTATGGTACTCAGTGTTGCAACACCAGATTTAGGAGCCTAAAATCGCATTGACTTTCAAGTGCCTAAATCCTTTTTGAAAATGAGAAATAGGCTCCTAAATTGGTTAGGCATTGTCACTTCCCAGTGCCTTTTTTCTTCTTCATCTTTCTATCAAGATGTTTACTACTTCTAAGAATTGAATAAGTGATGGAAAGAATACTTTAAAGAGCTGTACAATATTCAGAACACAGGAGATTAAATGATCCTGGAGAAGCTTCCCAGCACAAACAAGTCACAGTGGATACCTAAATCACCTTTAAAAAACTAGGCCTTAATGCTTAATGTCTTTAGAGAAAAACATCACTTGCTCAATGTTAATATTATGGATCAGTTGGAAGTAGATTTCTCTGATGAAGGAAGTTAGATTAAGAATTACCTTAAGTTCCTGTAGCTGGTCAGGTTCATAGAGTTTTGGAGACAACGCTTGAGAAAGGAAAGCATCAAGTTCCTGGCGACGAAGTATACGGATCCCTGGCCACTGCACCATATACCTACAGCAAAAGCAAACAAAGAACAGTTACTAATCTTTCTGTAACTGCTGTTCTTCGCAATATGTTGCATATGTCCATTCCATGTAGGTGTCCGTGGACTCCAATGCACAGTTGGAGAGTTTTTATCCTTAGCAGTTATTGTCAGGACAGCCTGAGTGCCCTCTGCTGTCTTGCGCACATTACGCAGGCATAAAGGATCCCCTCAGCTCCTTCCTACCGGAATGACTCTGATAGAAATGGGAAGGAGGGCAACGTCGTGACGTTGCACTCTATATGATTTTATGAAAATATGCTAGTGAGTATGAATATAATGTAACTGGACTATGCTTCATGAAAAAGATCTCTTGTAAGATATAATTACAAAGCTTATAATCTACTGAGTGTGGTCATCCTATTTGTATAAATGTATCACTCTTGTATCTGAAACTAGAAATATAAAATATAACTCTGAGGGCCTATCGTAATTATGCAAAGTGTGGGCCATTAATGGTGGTTTGGAATCTTGATGGCTCCCATTAACCAGGACAATTGACTGTGGATGGCTCTGTTTGCAGGCAGGCCTTCCTGTGAGTCAGGCTGGGAGGAATGAAAGCTTGGGGTCTTACAGTGACATGTGATCATGTCACCTGAACTGGAATCCATCTTTAACTTGGTGTTTTTCCATTGAGAAGGAGGGGTGGGAACCCAGAGGGACAAAGGATTCCCGCCTTATGCAAAAGATATATAAGTGAGTGGAACAGAACAAAGGGGGCAGCCATCATGCCTAGCTACCACCTGAGTTGGAACAAGGGCTGTACCAGGGGAAAGGATTATGCCCAGACTAGGAAGGCATCCAGTCTGTGAAAGAAACTTATTGAAACATCTTTGAGGGTGAGATTTTATCCGTATTCAGTTTTATTACTGTATTAGGCTTAGATTTGCGTGTTTTATTTTATTTTACTTGGTGATTCACTTTGTTCTGTCTGTTATTACTTGGAACCACTTAAATCCTACTTTCTGTATTTAATAAAATCACTTTTTACTTATTAATTAACCCAGAGTATGCATTAATATCGGGGGGGGGAAGGAGGAAACAGCTGAGCATATCTCTCTATCAGTGTTATAGAGGGCGAACAATTTATGAGTTTACCCTGTATAAGCTTTACACCCTGCCAGTGTGTTCTGAGCCTCTTGGAGGTGGGCCTCCTTCAGAAACAGAGAGTTGCTGACACAGAAATCCCAGAGTAGGACTGCTTCCTAGCTAGTGAAGAGGGGTTACATAAAACCTAATGATCACAGTGCCGGTTGGCATAAATATGTCCACTCCCTGATGTGAGGGAGGAATGCTATGGCAAGCTAAAAGGATAAACATCAGGGAGCTGCAGGTTCTACAGACTGAGATCTTGGGAGACCAAGACCTTGTGTTTGCAGGTATCCCAGGTGAGTCCTCTCACCTCAGATCCAGGCATCCCTGACTAAGGTAAGTGAATGCTGAAGCTGAGTGAAAGGAACTCCCCTGCATACATTGGTTGGGACTACCCACTAGTCTAGGGACATGCACTAACATGCCTATGTGGTGCCTTCTTGGAGAATACACCTCTGCCACCCAGCCCTGAAGGGCTCTCAGGCACTGTCTGGCGTACTGTACCACATAAGTGCATGTGGCATGTGCCTCAGCAGTCTTAAATAGTTCCTCATCATGGTGAGAGGATAAACTAAAAGTTCAGAATGAGGCTTTGAATTGCAAGAAACCTTGTCTGGGTAGCAAGGCCCTAGCTGTTGTCAACTCCAAAACCGCTCCAATAAATTCTATTTTCTCTACTGGAGACAGGACTGACTTGTCTATTTTGCTTTCGGGATCAGGACATATCAGGAATGAAACCTCTTTCCCCTGAACAAGAGAGGGACTCTCTACAGCTCCTAACAAGGAGAAGCAAATATATATCTTGCAGACTTGCTTTCTTGTGAGAGTTGTTCCTGAAGATGGATGGGGAAAGGAAAAGGAAAGGTGAGGCAAAAATAAAACAGAGCAAATATCCCACTTCCACCATGCTTACAACCCACCAATCTGTTGCAATGTGGGCCCAAGCATGACTGAAGTGGGACAGGCGTTTTGGAAGAATTGGAATAATAAAGGATGGCACTCTTGGAACTGGCAGACTGCTCTCAACCTGCCCATGAAAAATTAGTTCTTGGAAGATGCTGCCTGCCTTGAACCAGTGGCTGCAGATACAAAGGGCAGTGATGTGGGTTACCATTTGTAATCTCTGCTCCTTCTCTATGATAGGTCTTGGACTCAAGAAGTAAATCACTGAAAACGCTGAGACTGATGAGGACAGAACACCTTCTGCTTCACTGCTGGAGTGTAAATGCCCAGGGTCTACAGAGCTGCTCTAGAATCTTTGAGAATATGCAGAGTCTCATCTGTCTCTTCTGAGAAGAATGGCTGCTCACAGGGTAAGCCCTGAATGGTCTGTTGCATCTCTGGAAGGAGGCCAGAAGAATGCAACCAGGAAGAGTGCCTCAAGTGAAGGCAGAGGCCATGTTGCGTGCAGCAGAATCTGCTGCATCGAGACATGCCTGTAGAGCTGTTCTGGCGACCAACTTGCCCTCCTCTATCCAAGTTAGGAACTCTTGTTTTGCCTCACATGGGAGCTTGTCTTTCAATTTCAAACCCATCCCCCACACAGTGAAATCAAAGCATCCCAGCACAGCTTGCTGGTTCACAATGTGAAGCTCTAATCCACCTGTGGAATAAAGCTTCCTCCTAAATAAGTCCAACTTCTTGTCCTCTTTATTCTTTGGTGCTGAAGTCTGGTGTCCCTATCGTTCCTTTTCATTGGCTGCTGCAATTTCAAGGGGCATTGGAGGAGGGATGGTTATACAGTGCTCAAACCCCCGCGAGGGGAGATAGTACCTTCTCTCTACTCTTTCAGCAGTCAGAGGCAGAGAAGCTGGGGTCTGCCAGAGAATCTTGGTGAGCTGTAAGCCGAATTTATTGGCAGAGCTATTCTATCTGGAGCTAGATTAGAACATCCACTAGCTTGTGGAATTTTTCCCATTCCTCCAGGTGGATATCATGTGCCCTAGCCATCCTCCTCACAGCTCCTGATGAGTCTTAAAATAAATCACCCAGAAGTGGAGAAATAGGCTCCACCATGACTGTCTCATCAGGAGAGGAGGAAGAGGATACTAATGGTTCAGTTCCTACAGTTGCTCATGTAAGAGATCCCAAGTCTGCTCAGTACCAAGATGCTTGTGGCGACGATGCTCCTGGCGCCCAGCAGATGGAGCCAGCTCAGATGGCTGCAAGGATGCTCTTGACTGGGGTGAGGAACCTACGGGTCCCAAAAGGGCCACTAGTATGTCCCTGGACCCCAGCTATACACAGTCCAAGGATCCCTCCTGTAAACTCCCTGCTGGTATTGTGGCAGAAACCCGGGCGGGCAGGTGGCATCTCTCCCCCAATGGGACCAGCTAGGTTGGGAAACATAGGAAACCACTTCAGAGTCTGATAAGGATGAAGCTTTTTCTTGAGACCAAGGTGGTACGGTACCCGTTGGGACTGCAGAGGAAGACTGACTCTGAAGCGGAGACAGGGATATCATCTGTGCCTTTCCCTTAGATGGTACCGGTCTCATTGGTACCTTGATGCCACATCTGGTGGAACTGCTTAGTGTGGAGGGGAAGGCGCTGGAGGTGGTACCATCGTCACTGGTGCCAGGTGAGACTCTTGAACCACTGGTGATGGCAGCACTGAGGTTCAACAACCCTTTCGCAGCCTCAAACACCTCAGGAGTAGACTGGGTACCAGAAAGATACTGTGTGGTACACTGGGGCAAGGAGATGGCAATGAAGATGCTTGGGGAACCAGGCTCGACAGACCCACATTGGCCTCTGGAATCAACGAACTCCCCTGTTTAGAGGTGTGCTCTGGGGAGTGCTTCCTTTTTGATCACCCTTCTGAGTTTTTCTTAGAGCTCATCCTCTTTGATGGTCCTCGTGCTGAGTCCGATTCTTATGCCTCTTCTCCGGTACTGGGGATGCCAATCTGCCTCTCGGTACCAGTAGCGTGGCAGGTGCGCTACTGACCAACGCCAAGGTGCTCTGTATCCAGAGCAATGTAGAGAGCTCAGATGGAGGCCACACAGCCAATTTGATGAGCAGATATTTTAACCTGACTGCCCTGTCTTTTTTCTGAACAGGGTTAAAGCCCTTACAAATGCTACACTCGTCCCTCACATGAACTTCCTCCAGGTACTTAAGGCAGCTGGGGTGAGGGTCCCTATTCGGCATAGCCTTGCCGCAATAGTGGCAGGGCTTGAAATCCAGAGAGTGTGGGGGATACCTCCGGTACTGGGGCTCATACATGCTCAAACAATAAAAACAATTTTTTTTAAACTAACAAACAGAGTAACTACTAGACTGCACTAACTACACATAGGTACAATATATAGGTATTGAGAAAGACTTGCAGAAGCAAGGACAGGGAGCTTCAATAACCGTAACAGGTGGTAGGAAGGCACTGAGGTGGGTGTGGGGGGGGGTTAGCCCTTTATGACTGCCCAATGTGCATGAGACAGCAGAGAGTACTCAGGCTGCCCCAACAGGTACTATCAAGGAAAAAAACTCTTCAACAACTGTGCACTGGAGAGCACAAATACCTACAGTGGAATGGACATGTGCAATCACTCAAAGAAGACTTATTCAGAGTCCTCACTTTAACAGCTAAAGTAAACAGTATTACTGTGTGAACAGAAAAGCCACCAGAATGAAGCCAAAAACTTTTTGTTCAGGCTTCAAATTAAAAATAAGACACAGCTAAAAAGATTGAAGTGATTTCTTAGGGTTTAATGCCAGACAACATTTTGATAATCCTGCTAATTAAAAATGATAAATTAATTATTGTTTGCAGTACTGTTGCAGCCCTATTGATCCCATGACAGAGACACGGTAGGTGAGCTCTGTGTAGTTCGATAGCTTGTCTCTTTCACCAACAGAATTTGGTCCAATAAAAGATTACCTCACCCACCTTGTCTACATTAATTGTTGTAGTTTGTGCTGATTCAAATACTTTTGCATAGTATAAAAATATGTATTTGGTCAAAAGTTACTCAAAGAAAAATAGTAATGTTGTTTGACAATATTTTTACATTATACCCATTGAGCTGGCTCCTTAGAGTAGATGAATTAGGAAAATATCCATTATGTGATGTAAATGTCCAAGCAAAATACACTGATGAGACACTGCCTGTGAACTCACCCCACAGCACACATGATCATCAGAACCCCACACTGCTTTCAATAACAAAGGGTAGGATAGATCATAAAAATACTACCTAAAGCAGAAATGCATGATGATACATATAAAAATAAGAAATAATGGTGTAGTATAAAGGCTTCATCAACATGAGTCAGAGATGAACACATTACTCAGAAGTGAAGTCACAGCAAGTTTTATGCAGGTCATTCCAAACAAGTGCCAATAAAACTTTTATACCTCACAAACTATTTATGTCACATCACAGAAAAACTATTTTAAAATGTGTTAAGGGATTTAATAAAATATTATTGGAACTATTGTATTCTACTCCTACAAAGCCAAGTGCCTTATTTATAATTCCACACCACTCTTTATCGCCTTGGTCGAAACCATGAGGCAGTACCACGGGCGCATGCGCAGAACAATGGACACGACTACTTTTAAAAGCTCCGGGTCCATGCTCACAACCCTCCGTGGAATACAATAACCAATCGCTCAAAGAAAAACTATACATGGCTCAAAAGGCAAGATAAATTAATATTAAATTGGAGGCAAACTTACATTTATCATCTCAAAAATTTACCTAAAATCTTTCTTCCATTCATACAAATCTCATCTTTCAGCTTGAGATCTTGGGTCCTGCCAGATTAAGAAGCAAGAGCTGGGTCTTACTAGGGATTCCCCCCCCCGCCGCCAAAGGTACAGGAGTGCTCATTCCTAATTCAGCTCCGAAATTGAAGGCTAGTCTCTTCCTTCTTAATTCTGCACCTCTCATGTGGGCCAGTCAAATCAAGTAAGGGAACCAGCAAGCCTAGTATAGCGAATCCTAGTACCTGGTAAATGGGAAATCATTTACATGAGCTTTCCAATCCCATAAAGCTACTAAACAACCATTTTCTGCAGCACCTTTTGGTTTTTCTTTGAGAATGTACAGTGCCAGTTTCTGTGACCCAAAAGGCAATGTTTGTACCTGGCTACTTAGAGGCCTTAAATATAACAAGTCTAAACCAATTCAAATGCAAAGAAGCAACTATGAGAAAACAGCCAATTTTTCTTCTTTCAACTCTTTATGGAATTAGCTGAAAAACTGACAAGTAGCTAGCACACTTTTAAGAATAACAGAAGTGAGGAAGTCATTTCTTCCAAAATTACTTGCAATATGAATTATTAATTTTCAAAGTCATGGTTTAATGCAGGATTAGAGAAAGACTTGATAGAGCAATATATTATACAGTGTAGTAACGCATTTCTTTTATGCTATTTTAATTTGTGATTGATAAACCCTCACCTTAATACACAACAGAGCACCATAAGATGAGTGGGCACATTAGCTGGATTGAGCATTGCTGGTGTATCTGATCTCATACAGGCCAAAAATGCCCTCATTCTTCGGTTCTTGTCCTCTACTGCTTTTCCCAGCCACAGCTTCTTCAGATTGGGACAGGTCCATTCCCTGAATGCAAGCGCTTCCACCAGTTCAGGGGTCTGGGGAGATTTTCCTTTGTAAGCAGCCCATTCTTTAATTATCACTGGTGAAACTACAGAACAAAAACAATTGAAAAAAAAATTCAAAGTCTTGTATATTTTAAACTTCATATACAGATAGCCTCCCCATTTAAATCAATAGGTCATTTTAACCCAGGTGCTGTTTAGACGTTATATTGGCTGTACTGATTCTGTATCATGTATGCTAATTTGCATGACTAGTAGCCAACCAGCAAGGTCCTGAAGGATTATTTCTTTCACATGCACTCACTTCAACACATTCTCTAATATGCAAGAGTTTTCATAAAAACACAAATATATTGTAGGAATATTACTGTCAACTTGTTTTTAACCTAATTAGTTTATTATCCAAATTATTTTTCTCTATCATAATGGCATAATGGAAGATAAGCTACTTAATTTCTCTTTTTACACAGATATTCTCCTAATTAGGTCTTACATGTTTGATTAAAGAGTTGGAGGGATGTAAAATGAAGAATATTTCCCAAAACAGCACATAAATACAAAATACTTCCTAAGCATCGGCTACTTTCATCCCTACAACTTTATTTTTGTGCAGCTAATGGTGATGAACAGGTGGCAAAACAAAAAAGGAGGACTGGAAAGGAAGGGTGCATAGGGAGTGGAAATGGAAAAGGAAGCCTTGGGCAGTGATGTCTAATGTTCATTTGACAGCTGTGATAACCACACAGGCCTGGTGGAAAGGGGCAAGATGGTCCCTGGACATGGGGGCAGGCTTCAGATCAGCTGTGATATGACAAACTGATGTAACTCTTCACTCTCCTGTCAAATCTGTTCTCTGTGAAGACACTGGGTTGGTTAAGGAGGCAGAAGACTGGCGTCCCCTGCAATACCTGGGTTTTGCTTTGTGGGCTGTCTGCCCTGGTGGTAGGAAAACATCCTCTGCCTTTGCTGGCGGGTACTTGTATGGCTTTTTGTAGGGAGACAGTGTGTAAATTCCGACGTACCATAGTGTGACCCTTGAGTCCTTGAGGAAATGGACTAATCTGTCTGTCCTCTGATTGAAGAGCTCCATCTCCTGAAAGGATAGGTCCTCTATCATGAACTGTACTTGGTATCCTCGATGTCGGGAGCCACAAGGCTCATCTGATTGTGACAGCCATGGCCACTGACCTTGCAGATGTATCAGATGTGACCATGGCTGCCTGCAGCAATATCCTTGTATCCATCTGGACCGCCTTAATGCTCTCCTTCATTTCATCACTGTACTCCTGCAGGATTTTTGAAAGGAAAGAAGTGGCCCTCTCACATGTGAAGCAACTGTATTTAGTGAATAATGCCTGGTAGTTTCCTACCCAAAGCTGCAGTGAGGCTGATGAATGTGCCTTGCATCCAAAAAGGGTCTAATTTCTTAGGATCCTTGTCCATATGAATATGTTTAGTGAACTTCAGTTTTTCTTGTACTTGTGTTTGGGTGGGCATAGAAACACTCTAAGCCCTTCTAGGGCATGTAATACTTCTTTTCTTTCCACTTCCAAGTGAGCGGAGAAATGGCCAGGATCTACCATAGTCCTTCCAGTTCCTCTATCCACTCGTTAATGAGTAGGAGAGTGAACCTGGCCAGTGCTGTCACACTGAAAATATAAAAAAACTTAAGACTGTTCTTGTATGAATTTGGTCTCAATATCGAGGGTCTCCACAATTCTGGACTAGAAGTCCCGGAAGGATTTAAAGTCACTGATCACGGTAGTGGGGGCTAGGCTGGGGTCACCGCTTCATCCAGAGATAAGAAGGTTTCCTTGGGTGGAGACAGGGATCATTGTGGTAGGCCCCCTCCCCCCCTCATCATCTCCTGCAGCCCCACATCTGTTTCCAGTGTGGATGACCTAACCAATGATAGTGCCAGAGAATGGGATCTCCTCCTCCTGCTAGAAGCACAAGAGGGTAATTTCTTTGACACACAGGATGAAGGACCTCAGTAATGCCAATATGGCCAAGCTGAAATGCCATACAGATGCTGATGTGGTTCAGAGAGGCCAACCGAGTCCCACTTTCAAACCTTTTTGGGCAGTGATCTGAAGCCCTTATGCTCTCCTTGGGGTCATTCTCCAATGGCATAGGAGATGGATCTCCGCTTGACGTTGTCAAGGAGTGTCGGTGATGGTGAGGAGAAGTATTTCTCTTCTTCAGAAGGTGGTGCCATGGGGAAATATGGAGCTGGTTCCAGTTCTAGTCACTTCTTCAGTACTAGGAACATGCCTCCAGGGCTTATCTTGGGGCCTTACTCAACTCTGTCAGGGGTATCAGCACCATATTAGTACTGGATCTTTGATTGCTTAGGGCCTTTGTCTTTGGAAGAGCGATGTTTCATGAGCTCCTTCAGTTTAAGCACTATCTTTAAGATCAGTCTTCTTCTGCGACTCTATGTCCCCTTTGAGTGGGAATAGAAGCCAGCTTTACTACCTGCCATGCACACCTACAGCGACAGACACATACTTGAAGAATTATATATTCACGCATATGTGTGTGCAATATATGTTGTATATAAAATCTCTCTCTCAGAAAATACTATATAACATGAATACACAGCTGCTCAAGTTGCCACAATTGGTAATTGAGAAGACTGGTAAAAAAAGAATCACAATAACTAGATGCCTTAGATCTCCCTAGCCCCCGTCAATCTGGTTACAGATCTGGATATTGCACAAAAACCACCCATGTCACATTGGACAACAATCTCATCCCAGCAATGGGTAGTGATCAGGTGTCTACGCTGATATTAGATTTATCAGCTGCCTTCAGTCCCAGTGAACATTAAGTACTGTTGACTTGCCTGAAGTTATTTCTATGTGAGAGTGGGATAGGGCTCCTTGAGCAGCTTTGTTCCTTGAAGGCTGAAGCCCCAGAAGATTGTATTTGTATCATCAATCCTAAGGACGTTCCTGTGCAGGGTGCTGCAGGGTTCCATCTTGCTACCATTCTCGTTCAGTATATGCACAAGGCCAGGACTGACTATTTTTGTGTACTTTCTAACTGTATGATCTCAGTGCTGTAGTGGACATTGCAATTAGGAAACTTGACTCCTTTGCACAAAAGGAAGAAAATAATGGCTGAAATTCAAATTGTAGCTTCCTCCATCTAATTTGTTTCGCCAACAGAAGATAAGCTGTGGTCTCATTCCACTTCATATATGCAAGAAAGACAACTTAAGTTCTTATGTATAATTAGACGTAAGCTGGTATCCAATGGGAAGAACTGGTGGGACTTAAGACCTGGCCCTACACAGAAGCCCAAGGGCATTCTGAAATCAAATCTATAAAGTACAAAACAGCTTTGTTTAGGTCTGAACAATGAATAAACATCTTGGCAGAAGACTAAATGATTGCAGTGTAATTCTACCCTTACTCAAGGGATAAATAGGCAATACTATCATCTTGGTAAATTTAATGTTGGATGAATTAGTCACTATAATTGGAAATTCCATACGAACAAATTTAAGTTAATTGCCAGGAGGAAAATAGCTACATATAATTTTTCATCCTAATTTCCAAGAAGATTTTGTTTGTTCAACAGGTTGCTTCTTCCTGAAAAAAATACATGCTTTTCTCTGCATCAGGCTCAACAATAAATGTTACTATTTACTGCAAAGGAATAATACATTTCTCAGAGTTTTTTTAAAAGGACATAGTCAACTAAAAAAATACTTGTGTCCAAAACAAACAAACAAAAAAAAAACAAAAAAAACCCAACAACTCCCTACTTCCCCACGCCAAAGTTCCTATTACTGTAAATGAAAGCTATTGGGGAAAAAATCTATTTTTTTTTCCAGTTTGTTCACTTTCTGTATATTGTTTAACCATAATCAAGATTTCCCTGTTTGTGTAAGTCTTCCACACAGCGAAAGAGGAGAGAAAAAACCTTAAAGGAAAGCATGGGTGAAAAATAATAAAAACTTTAAAGAAGATTCAGAGACACATATACTTATCCTTTTAAAACTGAATAGACAGTGTCCATGTAAGTTATTTTTTGCCAACCAAACCTTATCTCCGTGGAATGCTGTGTAAGGAGGGTCAGTCATGAGAGCTTGGGGTTCGCTGATCCTTCTCGCTGATGTAATGGTGACTAAAAAGGCTGTCTTCAGAGTAAGGTGATATAAAGAGCATTCAGAAAGAGGGTGAAAGGGGGGCTCCATGGGATTTGTAAGAATAACATTAAGATCCCACCTTGGAGGGCATTCTGTTGACTGGTTGGTAAGTATGCAGTAACACCTTTAGAAATCTGGATCCCAGAGGATGAGAAAAAAACTGAGCATGACTGTACTGGAGGGTAGTGTGGTGAGACTGCATCCAGGTGGACTTTGATAGAATCGAGTGTCCAGGGTGTTTCAAATATAAAATATAGTTGAGGGTTTTTGGTACAGAAGCCTTCAGTGGGTTGAGATTGTGCTGGGCTGCCCAAAATGAAAATCTTTTCATTTAAAGGAGTAAGTCTTCCTTGTGAAGAGCCTTCTACTTTGCAGCAGGATCTCTTGTACTTGTAGTGAGCAGCTTCTGTTGGTAGCACTCAGGTGACCAACAACCATTCTATCAAATATTGTGACTTTGGGCATGGATGAAATACCTCACCTTGTTTCTGTGATATTATGAATGGACTGTCTTGCAGTGGTACAGAAGCCTAGACAGACATTTTACGGAGCTATGTTAGCTAGAACAATCCTGAAGATATCCGTAACAGTATGACTGCAGCCTGTTTGATTTTGCACATCACTCTTGGAATCAAGAGAATCAGCACAATTGCATACATGAGACCTTCATCCCACTCTATGAGGAAGGTGTCTTGCAATGATTGAGGGCTCATGCCTCCCTAGAACAAAAGGATGGGCATTTCATATGGTCTTTAGTGGCAAACAAGTCTATAATAGAATTTCCCATTATACTGGTTTAAGATGGAGCTGTTCAGAGACCATTTGTGGTTGGAGATGGATTGCTTGTTTAGGAAGTATTTTAGGTTGTTGCTGGCTCCTGGAAGATGAAAAGTGACAGGATATTCCATGTTCATAAACACCATATCT